GGTACAGATAAGAGCTGGGAACACAGGGAATCCAGGACAGATAAACCTCTCAGGACCAATAATGAGAGTAGCCATACCAGGAGGGGAAGAGGAAGGTGGGGGGAAATAGGGGGAACCAAACACAATGGTCTACCTGTAACCTTCTCCCAAGGGGATGGACAACAGAAAAGTGGGTGAAGGGAGACATTGGTCAATGTAAAACATGAAAAAAAAATTATAAATCATCAAGGGTTCAAGAGGGAGGGAAGGTGGGGGAGGGAGATAGAAAAAGTGAAAAGCTGATACCAAGGGCTCAAGTAGAAAGAAAATGCTTTGAAAATGATGATGGCAGCTGATCCCAAGGGATCAATGGAAAGTAAATGTCTAGAAAAGAACTATGGCAATATAAGTGATACTATGTTGGATACAATTGAAGTATGGATTGTAACAAGAGTTGAAGTGCCCCCAATAAAATGATCTAAAAAAAATTAAAAGAAAATGATATTGGCAACAAATGTACAAGTGTGCTTGACACAATGGGTGGATGGATGGATTGTGATAAGAGTTACACAAGCCCCCAACAAAAATTATATTTTTTAAATCTCAAAGAAATGAAAACTCTGGCCAGCCCATTCTGGGATCTAGCTAAAAGAGGGAAGAAAAGAGCGGCTGAAAACAAAACCTGCCCTGGGAAAAGAGGAGTTGTCCTTTACGAAGGGCTATAAGTTGGCTTACCTTCAGCGAGTTCATGTTATTATCTCAGTTTATTCCAGTCAAGTTGGAAAAAAACTGGGAAACAGAACATTTGTGTGACTTGCTGTCCTGCGATATTCGCTTTCCTTTGGTAGCCCAGAACAGAATGAGTACTATCTCTGAACAAAGTTGCCGGCACTAGGCAAAACATATTTGTGAAAACTTTTATTTTTATTGCATAAATCACTAAGGAGTTCCTGCATGATGTACACACAGCCTACGGCAGTGACTCCCCAGAGCGTCAGATGTCTTAGCCCACTCAAGGGCACTGGGGATAAAGAGGCGTGGCCAAAGTCCTACTTGTGAAATGTCAGGCACAAACATGCTTGTGACACAGCTCCCGTGGACACACAGGAGGCCGCTATGCGCCAGAACCAAACCTATGGCAACTGGTGCCGCTAAGGATGTGTGAACTTTTTGATTAGGAATAATTAAGTTTTACTTTCTATGTGGGAAAGTACAGCCTTCATAGATGAAGGAAAGAAAATGATCTTTTGAACCTGAATCATTAGCGAAAGCTTCTAAAAAAAAGGATTCTTTATCTGTTCTATTTTCAGAAAAAAGAAAACAAAACACTTTTTATATTTCCATTTTCCAACCTAATTTAGTCAAAAGCTATTTTTCAAAATCACATTTTCAAAATCAATATAATAAATATCACAAAACATCATCCCGACCCGGAGAGTAAACTCCTTGTTCATCAAGAGGATCGCGTTTCGCGAGCTCTTCCCCCTGTGCTTCCCTTCGTGCTGCTCGCAGAGCACCCCGCCATCATGCGGGGACCGTTCTTCCCATGGCTCGTGTTCACGTGGTGTGTCCGTGTGGCATTTTGATAATTCTTACAATATTTCACACTTGTTTGTCATGCTGGGGCCTTGACGGCGTAGTCATTACACATTGGGTTGCTAACCACAAGGTGGGCCATTCAAAACTGCCAGCCTCTCCATAAGAGAAAGAGTTACAGTCTCAGAAACCCACAGGGGCAGTTCTAACCTGTCCTATAGGGTGGCTATGCATGGGCATCGACTCGATGGCCGTGAGTTTGCTGTTAGTTATTGCATGCCTAGGAGACAGTGCTATGTAAGCATGATCTTTATATGAATTGGGACATGAAAACAGCTGTGGCACTGGCTGTACTGCAATGCTCACTTTATTACAGTAGCCCCGAAGGGAATGCACACTCCCTCCAAGGCATACCTATATTTTCCTTTGTTTTCCCAAATGAATACTTTAGAAATTTGCACCTTTAATTGTACATGTTTCTGCTTTCAACCATTAATTGGGATCTGGAAATTGCACATGGAAAAATAGAGACTGGTGTTTGGTGAGGAGGAATTGATCTTATCTGTCAGAGTTTAGCTCAATTTCCAAGTACTAGGTGGTATTGTGTGGAACAAATTCTCGATGATCTTTCCTACATCTAGTTAATAAAGCTGAGTTTCCCTCCCCCACCTGGGTAATGACATGATCGGGCAATGAGCAAGACTTCCCCTGATACCCAAATGCCAGTTGCCAAGATTCTATCAATCCCTTCTCCTTCCTCATTTTCCCATTTGTCACTTCCCTTCCTCCTCCATTATCACCACCCTAAGCCAGGTTCTCATCACCTCGCACTTAAACAAGGTTTCCAATTGATCACCCTGCCTTCAGACTCTTCCTTCCCAAAACACACACACACACACACACACACACACACACACACACACACAAATACACCACACACCCTAATTCTATTCAACACTACGTATCGGTGATGAAAATGCTAGTGCACCCTGAGGGAGACACCATTACAAGCATGATAAGAACTATTCTAGAAAAACCTGGGTCACAAATAACTCTACACATGATGTTAATGCTATGCCACATACCTAGTCTAGTCTCACTAACCTCACGGCTCCACAGTTACCATGGGAGCTGGCATATTGCTGAGGACTATGGAGACACTTTTCTAACTGGTCTCCCTTCTTATTCTGACTGCCGCTTCCACATAGCAGCCAGAGGGGTTCTCTGAAAGACAAATCTTTCTTGATGCACCCCCAGCCTCTGTTGAGTTACCATTGGCCAGTGGTCACCAACTTGCTTCAAAATAAAAGCTCATGCTTCAGTGGTAGCAGATTAGGTAGATCTTGCAAAGGGCACGTTCATTCACTGGGTGCATTTGTAAACTACTCCCAACTGTTGGTATTGAGTTCTTGTTC